TAGTTTTCCCAGTAACTCCCCACCACTGACGGGAGCCTCGCTGGCAAGGAAGTGCTGTGGAGTATTTACATGCTCCTTCCCCTACCAAACCAGCTCCTGCTCCCTTTGATCAGCCCCGTTTGAAGCCAGCAGCGTGTGGGATTTGGCCGTGAGGCTGGCGGGCTGCGAGGCTGTGATGCTCGGGGTGTGGATGCCCCAGCCGCGGGGAGCGCCGAGCTGAAGGTAGGCAGGGTCCCCGGCGAGCCAGCGTTGTGCTGCTGGGATGGGGATGGGCTGGGAGAAGGATGTCGGAGCAGGCAGGGCTTCGCTGACCATTTCGTGGTGATGCGATGGGGCTGGCTGGAGCAGAGCTGCTTCTGGTCTTGCGATGCCCCAGCCGCGGGGAGCGCCGAGCTGAAGGTAGGCAGGGTCCCCGGCGAGCCAGCGTTGTGCTGCTGGGATGGGGATGGGCTGGGAGAAGGATGTCGGAGCAGGCAGGGCTTCGCTGACCATTTCGTGGTGATGCGATGGGGCTGGCTGGAGCAGAGCTGCTTCTGGTCTTGCAGCAGTGTCGTGGTTTAACCTGGCAGGCAGCCAAATACCACGCAGCCGCTCGCTCACTCCCCCCCACCCCCAGCGGGACGGGGAGAGAATCGAAAGGGTAAGAATGAGAAAAACTCGTGGGTTGAGATGAAGACAGTTTAAGGGAACAGAAAAGGGAAAATAATAACGATAATGATAGAATATACAAAACGAGTGATGCACAATGCAATTGCTCACAACCTGCCGACCAATGCCCAGCCAGTTCCCGAGCAGCAGTTCCTCCCCCCAGCCAACTCCCCCAAGTTTATATACTGAGCATGACATCATATATTATGGAATATCCCTTTGGCCAGTTTGTGTCAGCTGTCCTGGCTGTGCCCCCTGCCAGCTTCTTGCTGGCAGGGCATGAGAAGCTGAAAAGTTCTTGACTACTGTAAGCACTGCTTAGCAACAACTAAAACATCAGTGTGTTATCAACATTCTTCTCTTACTAAATCCAAAACACAGCACTATATCAACTACTAAGAAGAAAATTAACTCTATCCCAGCAGCGCGAGAAACTCATCTCAGGGCAGCCAGGCACAAGGGTTCTGCCTCCCTGCACGCCCCGGCAGCACAGGCCGTGGCCAGGGCTGCAGAAAGGAAGATGAAAGGTAATATAAAAGCATTTCTGGTCTCTGCAGCACATTGCAAGCAGCAGTAGGCTGCTTTCAAGTCAGTTGTTTCAAAACATACCTTTAAATGAATTAATAATTAGATGCAGCTGCCATCTTGTTAACATAATGAAGCAGTGGCCTAACAGCTCTCTGTGTCTGAGAGACAAAAGTGAGTATTAATACCGGCCTTTCTCTGGTGTTGGACAAGTACAAAAGGCTTGGTTGTGGTTGTCTTGTGCTTTGCTGGAGTACACGCCGTTCTCTTTGGCTGTATTGGGAGCTCAGGGCATTAATCTGCCTGCATGACAGAAGCCTTTTAGCTTCTGCATTTGTTATAGGTGACAGTATTTGCCCACCAGTCTCTGTATCTCTGTAGAGAGGTGGCCATGCTGTCACTGCTTGGGGATGCTGGCAGCGTGCTCGGTGCTGCACGAAAGGGAGCAGAGAGCCCCTAGGTGCTTAAAGCCAACAGTGCAGAGTGCCAACATGTAAAGGTTGTCCT